AGGGGCTCACGGCTTGCAAGAGTTGAGCTCTGTTGTCTCACAGCCAGATGAACTGGCTTTCACTCTGTATGTCTTTCTCTGGGGTGGGTTTTCCTCTTGACTTTGATGGTGCAGTGCTAATGAGAGGCAGCCGAGCCACAGCCCTGCCGAGCAAACCCGTCAGCATTGCCATGGCCCGGGCAGTGCTGTGTGCTTGAGCCTCAGCTCTGCAGGTGGGTGAGTCAGTTCAGGCTCTATCCTCTCCTGGCCTCAGGAGCTAAAGGGCAGATGGGGCCAGGCTCTGGGGTGGTTTGTGATGCCCAGGACAGCTTCTCCTCATCCGCGCAGGAGCCGGAGGCCAGGCAGGTCCCTGTCAGAGCCGCCGCTTCTGCCCATGCGGCCTCTGCAGAGACCTGGCTGCTCAGGGGACAGCCTCTCACCAGCATTCGCTTTCGTTTCAGGGCGAAACAAACTTCCGAGTTTCCAGTCCCTTTCAGATGGTAAGTTTTGAATCCTCACCTTGTTTTGGGAGGTGTGCAGACTTACGTAAACCAAAGCAGTTTAAAAAAAACCCAGAAAGTGTCATCTGTCTGCTGCAGAAAGGGAAATTGAATCATGGGTTGTCTGAAGGTCATTAAGCCAAGAAGTGAAAGAGCTGGCAAGACATTTTGGGGTACTCTGCTTATGCACAGCTGGCAACTGTTGGGTCCAGAGCAACTTTGTATTGCTGCTTGGTTCTTCTACCATGAAAACAACGAAAAGGGTGATTTTGGGAGTGGATGTGTGAGGATTTTGATGTGCTGCTCAGATGTGCTACTGCCTTTCTCTCTCAGCCCTCTCTGACACAGGAGTTAAAAACTATGCTCCAGAGCTGCGCAGACCGAAGGCTGAGTACAAGGTGAGCAGCCTGTGTTTGTAGTGTGCAGAGATCAGAGTTCTGACAGAAAGAGAACTTCCTAGTTTTGGTTTTGAGGGGGGTGGTCAATCGCGACTTCGGACACCAGAGGGCAATGCTGGGAGTAGGACAGGGAGCTGCAAAGTACAGCCTCAACAGTAGTTTAGGTGTCCTCTGCTTTTCTCAGAAGTAGGGAGCTTTGCTGGAGGTCTTAGTTACTCCTTCTGCTAATGAATGGCCCAGTAGTCTTTGTGAACAGGATTTCTAAGTAGTGCTTTGCCTGTAAGCTGCTTTCTTGCTGAGTCAGACATATTGTCATCATGTGTGCTTTTAAATTTTTTAAAATCTAAAGGCTTCTAAGTTTCTTGTTCATGAGTCACTGCGATAGCACAGAAAGAGCTGCATAGAGATGGAGTTCCGGTTGGCAGGAATGTTCTTCTCCCAGATAGGTAGTGTTAGGTGTTGCAGAACTTAGTGGGTGTGGGTCCTGGGTGGTTCCTCCTACTAGATGTGGTTCCATGTTCCCATGTCCAGCCTGTAACAGGACTGAGAGACTGAGCACATACTCCCAACAGATACAGACATGCACAGTACTAGCACAGCTGCCCACATGCATTCACACAAAGCAAAGCCTTTACCAACAGACACTGAGACACGCAATGCTCAGGCCTCATCCTGAGCCGCCTCTCTATCTGATCAGGGTTGAATTCCACTCATGTAATGTACGTATACTCTACAGGTCTCTCCAGTAGCTGATCTTAGACATCCAGATTCTTTTGTAGCTGAATCCCACACCCCAGTCACTTCCAGTTGCTGGCAGTTGGACCCTTGAGTCTATAGGGTTCATGGTCCCATTCTGGTTCTTGGTACTTGGGCTGCTTATTCTACTCCCTGGCTGGTTGAGCTTGAATTAGTCTTCTTATGAACACACACACTTGGAATAGAGAGCCCACCCACACAGAAGGTGGTTAAAAATAGAATTTAATGAGACTATAAGACAGACTGCAGTGATTTGTTGCTGTGCTCAGGCAGGCAGGATAACTAGCCACTTGTTTAAACTTGGCTGGCACCCTATGACCCCTTTTCCTCCTATTCTCCCTTGCTTTTTCCTGCCCAGTTCATTTTGATCTGTTCCCTTTCCCTTCTTTTTGTCTTTCCCGTAAACGTCCGTAACAAGCCTCACGCATTTACACAACCCTCTTGAAACATCCCAGGATTCTCTTTCCCCTATCTCTACTAATTCCAGTGCCACTTTAGGATTACCTGGTATTTGGGAAAATTTATTTGGTTTCCTTGTCTTGGGGGTTTGAATTACTAATAACAACCTAATCTGTTTCATTTGATGATGGCAAGGAGTGGCCAAGTCAGTGTACTCAGACTGCGCTGATCAGGGTACTGGTTTTCTCCCTGTCCTTGACCATCTGATCCTCACTGGGTTGGTGTGTTTACGTTGATTAGCCATGACCTAACAGGCAGCACTTTCTGAAAGCCCAGCAAGAGAAGTAAGTGTGCCCTGTTGTGTTCTGTGGCTGCAGAGGCAGTGAAGCAGGAAGGACAGGGATTGTGCAGCCCCTTCAAAGCAGACAGGAGTATTGTAAGTTGGGTGGAACAAAGAAGGGAGAGTTGGTGGCAGCTTTGAACCACTGTCCTGATAGTGACAGGCTGAGGAGCTGCCTCTGTCCAGAGGTGCTGGAGGGGACCCTGGTGCTTGGGACATTTGACACACGTTGACATACATTGACTTGAGAGACTCATGTGCGGTGGTCCCCTAATAGGAATGGGTCAGCTTTTTTTTTCCTTTAGATCTGGACTTTTAATAAATCTTCAATGAATTTAAAATTCAGTGTCCTCAGAGGTGGTTTTGGTCACTCCCTTTCTCTGGCTTCTTTCAGGCAGAAAGCTGAATTACAACTGCTGTTCAAGTGCCTATCAAAGACTTAGATGCCTTCTTGGAGTCTAAGTTCAGGAGTGGCTCAGGCCACCACCACTACTTTTACCCAGTGCTTCCAGATAATAGTGGCTGCAGGGGAAGAACTTTGGTCGTGGTGGCAGTGGTAGCATCATACCTTAAGATGCTCTCACTAAAGGCTTCAGTGCTCTTGTCACATTGTACTAGTCCTGTGTGATTCGCCAGGCACCTGCCTGAGGCTGTTGTCCCTGCTTTCTCCACACTGCTGTGGAAGGCTGACCAGCAGAAGTCTGTCTGGATTATAACAAGAAACTGACCCCTTCCTTCTCAGTTTTGGTTTTGCCTGTTTTGCATGCATTTTGTTTGTCCTTCTGAAAGCAACATTGGCAAAGGAAAGCAAATTTCCAAGAAGGACAAGCTGTTGAAATGCACTTCCTATAAAGGATGGGATGACGGACCTTACTGAAGCAATAGAAAGACTCTGAGCCTCTAGCTTCCCTCTCCACCAGCACAGAGTCTGAAGGCCCAGCAACTACACCTAAACACTGTAGGCACACATCCTACTAACAATCCCCCTGGAGCAGCTGAACAATAAGTCTGAGAAGCTACACGTGGGCCATCACTCTGATCCAGCACAAGTGGAAAGCATCTTGGGGACTGCTGGCATGATCGGGCCTCTTAAGGCTTAAGAGCTCTTTATTTTTCTTGTGGCAGGATTACAGCAGTGATTGGAGCCCCAAAGATACAGTCAGGCGAATGCAGAGAGGCAAGGTAAGGACCTTCAACTCCCACCTGCTTGGAAGAGACAGAAGATGGGTGGTCCTAAACTGCTTTACTCTTCCCTGTGCTCCTGGCCGTTCTCGGAGCAGGGAAGGGATCCATGTTGCTTGCAGCATCTAGCAGGGACATTGCTCTGCCTGTCTGCTGCTTTGCCAGGTGGCAGCAAGACAGAAGCAATCTTGGTTACACTGCAGCTGGAATCTTAGTCTCAGCTGCCTCAGTTTGCAGTGAGCACACAGGGAGCTTCTGGTTTCGCTTTACATCTCCAAGGCTGAGAGAGGCCACAGTTATGGGGTGAGAGGAAGGGAGGAAGTCTCACAACTCTACTTTTCTGGTCTCTTCCATGGAAAGGGCAGTAGTCACTGCAGAGTCACCTCCTGTCAGGGCTGGTAGTTCGTGGTTTGCAGGGAAGCTTTGCCTTGTTACAAGGGTGTTTGTGCTGAATGTACAATGTATGCTGTCCTAGCCTGGGCAGTAAGAAGAACTAACTCTGCAGGCCCTGTGGACAGATTCCCAGGGATCGTGCAGCAGGTGGTTTCAGCTAAATGAGCAGTTCTCTGCTGGTTGGGAGGGCTGTTATTCATGTTGCTGAAGGACTCTGGAGGATGAATAGGTAGTACCTTGGGGGTTGGTCAGTCTGAGGATTGTCTGATTTCCCATGTGCCTACTTATACCTCTCTTATCTCCAGGTCTGTTCTCTAGAGAGATTTCGCTCCCTGCAGGACAAGCTGGTTCTCTTGGATGAAGCTGTAGCAGGGCACGATGGGAATGTCATTACAGCTGTGAGTCCTACTGGGGCCATATAGGTCTGGGACTTCCTGGGTGACCCCACAGGGGGTGCTTGTATGAATGCAGTCACATGGCCTGCCACCTAATTTTTCAAAATGTGAGCTCATTCTTTACGTAAAACTACAAAGTTACTGAGAAGTGTCAAAATTTAACACTGTGAGGTTCTATATTCCTGTTGGCTTTCCTGCCGTTCTGCAGAATTCGTGTCAGATTAATAACAAGGGCCTTGATCCTTCAGCCTTATAGATCTTTGCAAGAACTTCTTGAATGCTGAGGTTTAATATGCACATAGCAGCGCAAAAGATTTGAGGGGCCTCTCCAGTTTTATCTGGCTTCCAAAGCAGGCAGCAAATGGCACTGTGTCAGAGCTTCTCTGATCCAGTTCTTTTAAGCCTTTGGATCTCTCATGCAAAGGTTTTTCTTTGTAAATCTTGGTCTCACTTACCTAAGCTCCAGAGCAGGAGCTTGGGCAGTGTAATGGTTTGAAAGCAAACCAGTGAGAGACTCCAAGTCAGAAATACAATTTAATAGGAAAAAATAAAATCAATGCAATAATACAAAGGGAAACCACAGACAGAGTCAGAATACAACCTGACATTCTGTAGTTAGGGTGGTGGTAGCAGTCCAGATGAAGCAGTGGTCTCATAGAAAAAAGCTGGTAGCTCTTGTCCTCTGGAAATCCAGTGGGTAAGGCCCCCTGTGCTGTACTGAACCCCAGTTTATATCCAGGTGGGAGCACTTGGTTCCTCCCCCTGGGCAGAGTATCTCACAATGGGTTGATTGGGGCCTTGATGGTCCATTAAACAGAAACAGTTCCTGGGGGGAGCTCTGTATGAGTCATGGGGCAAGGCATGGATGGGCCCATTAACAGGGAGGACTCCTCCTGCTGGGTGGGAAGGTGTTAACATCTCCCCGGACCTCCTTCCTTATCTGTTGTAGCCTGGGGTGTGAGGTCTGTCCTGGCCAGCTGCTACCCATGATTTTCTTAACAGCCCATGAGCACTGACATAGAGGGTATAGAATACACAGTTTTTGGTTCTACCCACATAAGGATAAACTGGTCCCAGCCCCTGTAACCATGACAGGCAGGCAGCTGTGGCCCTGGCTCGCTGCTTGTCCTGTGTCTAATGGGTAGCAGAACTTGGTTCAGGGCTCTCAGAGCTGTGTATTCAGAGGCCCTTTGCAAAAGCTTCCTCAAGCTTTGACCAGTTTGCTGTCTTGTCTGTCTTAATTGTGGTGAAGGCTCATTTGGTCAGCTGACAGCTGCCTCTCTGTGCTCATAGGTCCTGATATTCCTGAAACGGACGCTAAGGAGAGGTGAGTGTGGCTGGGGATGGGGTTCTTACAGCATGCTTCATTTAAGGGCAGAGGGGCTACTTGTTTCACTGGGTGCAAGTCACAAAAAAAACATCTGAAATGTTGCTACTTTACTCAGCACAAAATACTTTTCCAGCAAGTGTAACACAGGAAGGGAGGTGGTGATGCCAACAAAGCCCCCAGAGAGTACCTTTAAGCAGTAGTAGGTGGCAGTGGTGATGAGGTGAACGTAAATCAATCTGTATGGGTGGGACACTGCTGTGAATTCAGCTGGCAGCCTAGAGAACGGGCTCTTATGTGCTCTAGCCTCTGAGACTATGCTTTGAGATGGGATAAGGTTGTTGAGTTCTGCCAGTGGCTCACAACTCCATGCCCTGTGCTTAGCCCCCTCTGACTCGCTGGTGTAACTTACTTTACCCACATGTACAACTCTCTCTTTCCTGTAGAGATCCTGTTTCGGGAGCTGGAGCTGCGGCAGGTGGCCTTGTGTCATCTGATCCATTTCCTCAAAGAGACGGGTGAGCAGAAGTTGCTTCTGGATCTGCTCAGGTGAGGCTCTTGCACAGTCTTCTGGTGGGGCTGAGCACACTGATAGAAACCTTCCTACAGGTTAATGCTTGCTCATTCCCTTTTGCAGGTTCCTAGACAGGACTGAGGAAGTCGCTGTGAGTATTCCTAGAAGGAGAAGCTCCCTTTCCTCAGTGAAGAGGGAGCGTAGTGGATAGGGGGATGCTGGCTGCAGGGTGTCTGGTACTCAGATGAGAGCTTTGCGTCCCCATTTTGTCCTCTGGAGTCCTGTATCTCCCAAATCCATGAGAAAAGACTGCTTCTTTTCCCTCTCCCTCCAGCTGTCCCACTACAGGGAGCATTTGAACATCCAGGATGCAGAAAAACGGAGGGAATTTCTGAAAGGCTGCATGGCGTAAGAAAAAATGCAAGAGGGTGGAAGGGATGTGGGTGCTTCACAGAATGTGGTAGTAAGAAAAATTAGATCTCTGTCCACATGCCACAGCTTATGTAGTTTGAGGGGTGATGTTGGTTTTGCCTCAGTGGGAGTGGGGTGTTGTGGACAGAAATGTACACCAGAGAGGAAGAATTAGTGGTGAGCACACTCCAGCAGCCTTTGCTGCTTACTTGGGGGCAAAGACGCTTCAGGGACCTTCTGATCATTGACCCCTAAGGTTGCAGAGGGTGAAAGCTTGGGTGCCTGAGCTCCTGAGAAAATGGATGGCATCAGCTTTGCATTGTTCTGTGAGGGATGCCACGTAATTTTTCCTTCTCTGGAGCCTGTCTAGGAGAGAGCCAGTTGGAGAGAGCAGTGGGGCAGGAGCTTGAGTACCTACTAGCCACTCAAGCTGGGGAGAATGGGAGGTGTTCTTCACATCTCTGTCTGTGGGGAGCATGCTTTGTAGAGAAAAGCATCTTCCTAAGCATACTGTGTTAAGAGCTGCTGACAGCATCTTCCTCCATGTCTTGCCAGGCTGCCATTTTCAGCTGAGGATGCCTCCCACATCCAAGACCATTACACCCTGTTGGAGCGACAGATCATCATTGAGGTATCTGGTCAGGATATTCCCTGCTGGTCAGGAGATGATGACTAGGACTATCTGCCAGATCTCTGTCTGTCCCTAACTTATACCACTTTGGATCTAACCAGCCTGCCCTGGCTAGTGCAGTTTAACTGCACACGTGTGAAATACCTGACTTGAGCCTTCATGGCATGTTGAGGCCGTAGCTTGTGCACTGCTCTCCCCAGGTCTCTGCCCCACAGCTAGGTCAGACTCATGTTCACCCTCTGCCTTCCTGTTCCCCCAGGCCAACGACCGGCACTTGGAGACAGCTGGGCAGTCAGAGCTATTTCGGAAATATCCTCGCAAGGCTTCAATTCTCAACATGCCGCTAGTGACCACCCTCTTCTATTCCTGTTTCTACCACTACACAGAGGCTGAGGTGAGGATGGTGTGGGAGAAGAGAAGGGTCACATTTGATCACTGTAGCCCTCAATATGTGGGGTGGTTAAGCTGGGGCATGTAAAGGAAAGAAGGGGAAGGAGTTCGTATTTCATCCCTCAGAAAGATGTAGAGGAGCAGAGCTCCCGTTGTCCATCTAGGACTAATTTGGAGTTTTCTTTTGTGCTCTAAGATGGGACACTCAGCCTGGGACAGCCTGACAGGGAGTTACCTCCTAGAAACCACTGTCTTGTACTTCTGGATCCAAGGAGCCAGAATTGGCCCTAATCCTATGGGGCTGAGATGTGTGATACTGGTCTTGGAGGTGCACCAGTTTAGAATGTAGGGGAAAACAAACATTGATGGGGTGGGATAGTTGCTCTCTTTTGCCAGCTGTTTCCTCCTGTGGCACTGATGTGAGCAAAAAGCAATAAAACTTGCAGAGATTTACCCTATGTGAGGCAAATGAACCCCTCCTGTGGCCTGCCCTGCTGAGTTTGCACTGACTTGTCTTTTCTCTCTAGGGAACATTCAGCAGCCCGACCAACCTGAAGAAAACATTTAAGGTGTGAGTTTCCTGCTGTTGTGGCAGCACTAGCTGAAAATATGGGCAGCCAAATCGTATTATGTGAGGGAGCTGGGTAGAAGGAGTTTGAGGGGCTCAGCACTGAGATATGGTGGGGCCACACCATCCTCCTTGTGCAGGCAGTTCTGGTGGCTCAGGAAGTCAAGTGGGAACCATGTAGAGGCTTTCACTGGGTCTCTGCATTGGTGGTCCTGGCCTCCCTCAGCATCTCACCTCTTCGCCTGGCTGTTGGTGTGGGTGCTGACAGGGCTGGGGGCAGATGCCATTCCTCTCCAACCCACACAGGCCTCCTGAGCTGTGCTAGTGCTCTGACTGCAGCTTTCTGCCTTACAGATTCCTGACAAGCAGTATGTGCTGACTGCCCTGGCTGCCCGTGCCAAGCTGCGAGCCTGGGGTGATGTGGATGCCCTCTTCACCACCAAGGTGAGCTATGGAAAGCCTTGCTGGGGACTCAGTTACAAGTCCTGGTATCTACTACTGATAGCTGGCTTGCTCTAGAGTTGCCGGACAGATTGGTTTATACATCAGCACGGCCCAGCACCTCTGCTGCAGGATATTGCAATATGTTCTTCCTCTTCTGCCTAAGGTCTCTGCTGGGCCTGGCTTGGCTGTAGCAACAAGGGGTCGGAGAAGGGGGGTGCCCTCATGCTCTGTTACTGAAGGGTTCACAGCCAACCTGTGCCCAGCCACGGCATGAAGGGCTCTGCCAGTGGTACATGTGGTGGCTGGTGGTGTACTGGGGAAAATAGTTTCTTGTAGTGTGGGGATTCTCCTAATCCTTTAGGATTAACATAGGGTTTGGCTCTCACTTCAGAACTGGCTGGGCTACACCAAGAAGAAGGCCCCTATTGGCTTCCACCGGGTGGTGGAGATCCTGCAGAAGAACAATGCTCCTGTGCAGGTGAGTGAGGAACTGCTGCTTACGTTCTCCTGCTCTTTGTTGGATTTTGACTTGTTGGATTTGGGGTGTTGAACAGTTCCCCAGGTGAGCTGCTTCCTATCTGGAGAACAGCCTGTCAGCTCTGCCAGGTGGGTGAAGCACTCAGCTGAGTGACCCCGTGCATCAACAGGAAGTGTGGGTGGTAGTGAAGGCTGGACCCTCGGTCCGACTGCAAGAGGGACAGAAGGCCTAAAGCTGTCTGGGAGCTCTCTCCCCAAGTGCATTGCTACCTTCACTTATGCCTAATCTGGCTGACAGTGGTTAACCCAACCCATAGGAATGAGCTAGCCTAGGACTCTGAGCTTTGTGAGCAAAGCTTTACTACCCCGGGGTCCTGAGCAATGTTGTCCTGGTCACATTTTGCCTTAAGAAGGAGTCAAGTCTGCATGACCAGCACCCTTGATAGGTTTTGTGACTGGGATGAGAGAATGAGGCAGGAGGTACCTGCAGAAGGCAGCTGAGATGCTTTTCCTTCCCTTGCAGGTGCTGCAGGAGTATGTGCGCCTGGTGGAGGACGTGGAGACACGGTTGAACCTTGCCACCAAATACAAATGCCATGATGTTGTCATTGAGGTAGGTCCTTGCTGTGCATGTGAAGAGATGGGACAAGAGCCTGCATTTTTCCCTGTCTCTCCTGTGCTCTGCTGTGTGCCGCTGGTGCCATGCACCTTGGTGGGGTTTGTTTAACCCTGTGGCCTGGGAGCAGCCCTATGGTTCCTGGTGAAACCAAGCGAGCCAGGCGAGTGACTTCTAGTGTTTGTGTTGTAGTGGGAACTTGAGGGTGGACTGAAGAATTGCCCTGCTCATCTGCAGGGCACCATCTAACTGTGGAAGTGTCCTCTTCACTCAGCTGGGTGGTGGTTTTGCTGTTTATGTAGACATACAGGGATCTAAAGGATCGCATCCAGCTGATGGCCTATAAATGCAAGGTGGAGCGAGGCTCTGCAGAAGAAGAGAAGATAAACAGCATTCTCAACAATGTGGTAAGAAATGCCTACTTTTCCTTGCAGAGGCTCCTCAGAAACAGCCATAGGTTAGGTCTAACAGCATGGCCGTACTATATGATTTCAAGAGGGGATAAAAAGTTCATCTTATGTTTGGGGTTGCATTCAGTGTAGGAGTGAAGGGTGAAGCTGACTGAAATAGCAGCCCTGGCTATCGGTGTCCTGCCAGGGACTGGCACTCACTGGGGCGGTGGCCGAGGGCTCCGTGTCAGCGCCGCGTGTGCCCTGTCTGGTTCTCTTACAGCAAATCCGGTGGAAGAACTGAGCACCCGCGGAGCAGCTTGCCCGCCCGTCGCCTTGCCAGCCAAAGAGGAAACTGCAAATCCCAGCCCAGCGCCAGCAGGGCAACTCTGTTACTACTCGTTGCATGGTCAATGTTCGTCCGGGCAGTGGGTGTCTGCGGCTTGTGGGACTGTGGCATTCGGGCCAGCTGAACGCAGCCGCTCCAGCATAGCCAGCGAAACAGCCTGATCCACCAGGGCTGATTCTTCTTGGAATCTCTTTGACTTGGCAGCAAGCCAGACATCATTTTTGTTTACATAGGGAAGTTGCTGGGCACAGCAAGGTTACGTTTGCTCTGGGTGGTGCCTGGACTTATTCTTGCAAGAGGAACAGGTCAGTTGTGCTCACGGGTCTCTCCACCAGACAGTGCTGACCAGTCCCTGTAACATTCCAGCTGGCTGGGGCATCACCAGACATGGCTGTGGCTGGAGTAGAGCCTGCCAGACTGCGTTCTGTCTGCATCAAAGAGTGTGTTGTGGGAAAGAACCAGCTGCACTTGACAGCCCATTTTGTTGTTGTTGTTCTGGCCCACCCTAGGAATAGAGGTGTTGTGTTAACTCATGGAGAGAGAGTCAGAAAAACAGCCTCTGCCAGTGTCCTTGTGCTGGCACTCTTGCAGCTCTTGGAAGATCCCTGAATTAGGGAAGAACAGGCACCTGTTGTGGAGCTGGTCAGAACCATGCCTGGGTTGGATGGAGAGCAAGGGGGGACTCTCAGCTGGCACAAGCCTGCTGTCCCTGGCAGCACTGTTCTCTGAGTGTTATGCCAGAGAGGATTGAACTGCACTTTCTGAGAAACACAACTCCTCAGGCAACTGCTGGCTTCATCCTTCCAGACCTCAGTTCAGTTCTTTAAATAAAATTCTCTTTCTCCTTGGGCTGGTTGTTTCCTTCTTCCACTGAGCACTTTGTCACTCTGTGTGCTAATCCTGAGCAATTTATCACACCTCCCACAAAGTGACTATGCAGGGTGTTTTCTTATGTCCTGAAAAGCACACTGCATGTCACCACAGAGTAGCTTTCCTTGCAGCAGTACCTTATTTCACACCTTCAATTAGTTAATTTTGACGTTGTAGAAAAGTCTGCTGCCACAGGTGTAGTCACACAAAGGTGAAGGTTGTATGTGGTGATGTAACAGTCTGGAGGGCAGGTTTAGGTTCCAGCGTCCCTGCTGCACTGTGCAATCAAATTTTTTTTTTCTGTTGGTGTGGGGGGATTTTTTTTGTTTGTTTATTTTCCTCGCAGAATCATTTAGGTTGGAAGGTACCTCTTGATTATCTAGTCCAATCCTGCTCAAGCAGGGTCACCTGGAACTGGCAGTTGGTCATCAGGACTGTCTGTTTTCAGTATCTCCACAGCTGGAGACAACAGCTGCTCTGGGCAACCTGTTCCTGAATTTCATCACTCACAGTAAAAAGGTGTTTTTTTTGTCTGTCTTTTTTTTTTTGTGTGTGTGTCGTCTTGTCTTGACTCGCACTTCAATTTGTGCCCACAGCCTCCTGTCGCTACTGGGCACCACTGAAATGAGGCTGGGTCTCTTTATTCCCTCTCATCAGATAGGGACACACATTGATAAGATCCCCCTGAGCCTTCCCCAGGTGCAACAATCTCTCCTCATACGAGAGATGCTCCAGTCCCTTAGTTGTCTCCGTGGCTCTTTGCTGGACTCTCTCTGGTATGTCTGTGACTCTCGTGTACTGAGGAGCCCAGAACTGGACACAGCACTCAGGATTTACAGAGGACGGGCCACCTTATTCTGTTGGCAGCATGCAAAGACAACCCAGGATGCTGTTGGCTGCAGTAAGGTTTGCTGACAGGCTCTCCCACGTACCCTAGGCCAGGACATTGCTTGGTTGTAGGAATTGTGATGGTGTTGCTGTTTGGGATTTATGTCAGGGAGCAACAGAATCTGAACACGCATACAGAGGAGGAATCTGATGGAGCCATAAAATAAATCTTCATGCTTGTGTTCTCCATGCATGGGTCCTGGATACTCCTCTTATGCCATGACTGGCAGTAAGTAAACATGAAGTCTTATCACTGCTAAAACCAGACAGTTTGTGAAAATGCTGCTAACTTTAGACAAGGCGGTTACTTAAAAGAGGTTTTAGCTAAGAAGTTAAAATCATTGAACAGAGCAGTGCTGTTTTACCACAAACCAGAACACTCTGTGTGGGCAGGAAGAGGAGTATTTCCAGGGAAATGCATCTTATGTTTGGGAAGAGTGGGGGTTATGTTAGCAGTAAACCTAAAATTGCCATACCAGTGGTGGTGTTCATTGGATTTATTTTTATTATTTTTTAGTGATGTGGCAGGCCCTGCCCAGCCCATGCAGATGGTTTTGGTACGGCCTCAGTGGGATATGAGTTTCTTCTGTAGTACCTGTCTTAGGCCTCGTGTGCTTTTGGCATGGATGTGCTTTTAGGCAGTACAGTCCAGCAGATAAAGTACGTCATGGGCAGAATTTGCATGCAAGTAAAAAAATGTTTTTGTTTGTTTTCTGGGATTTGTTTATTTGTTTTGGTATTATTCCTTTGAAAATTCAACCCATCTGCCCCCATTGAAGAGGCTGACCACCTGGTTGAGAGCACCTTTTCACTGTGAAGGTGTGCAGGCAGGAGCTGTATAGAGACATGTTTCATTCCTGTCCTCTTAGTTTTTTCCTGGTAGCCTAGCTGCTGGCTCTTGGGGTGGTACAGTTGCACCCAGCAGAAAAAAAAAAAACAGGCTGCTGCAGTGGAGGTGGTCCTCCCCTGTGATTGATTTCTGCTTTCTTCTGTGCTCCAGGGGATGCTGTGACAGCTCTGGAGAAGCCCATGCCCCCAGCTTCCCTGGGTGCAAGTGTGTGATTCTCCAGTAACCGGGAGCTCGCGGTGGCACCAGCAGTGCCCAGGCTGGGCTGGCTGGGCACCCCCAAGTGTCTGGGCTCACTGCCTGTCCAGATTGGGCTGGTGCCTGCCACACCATCTGGGGAAGGCTGGCGGGTCTCTGTAGGGAGTTTCTTGTGCAGTTCATAGCAGCTCTGTATGAAGTTAAGCATTATATAGGTATTCCTATACAATGCTACAGTTTGTTAGCTTTTCATCTGGCTTTGCATGGTCAAAAACCCACCTACTGTTTATACCCACACGTGGTTACTGATCATCAGCATTTGTATAAGCTCACTGCCAGTCAGTCTTAAATCACTCGGACTAGTTTTCCTCTGAGAAAATCAGGGAATTAGTGGCGGGGGCCGCCTTGGGAAGCAGCTGGCCTAAGCACTCCTGACGCTGAGCTGGGCTCAGTGCCCCAGCATCCGTGTTTCCTCCAAGTGTTCTGAAAGCCGGCGTAAGTGATCCCCAGCCTGGCCCTGGAAGTGGGACTGTGCTTTTTTTCCCCTAGTATTTCAGGCAGAATTCACTAAATAATGTTTTTTCTGCCAAAAATATTGCAGGTACAGAAACTCCAGGTTTTTGATTGAGAAGCAGAGGACGCTGTTGTAGAAAGGATCTTTATCTGGGTAGAAACCCCCTGTCCACCAAAAATTAATTTAGTTGTTTGCTTTTTTTCACCAGTCCCATCTGAGTGTCATGGAGCTATTAACCCCATTCTTTGAATGCTATCTTGCTTAAGGCCTGTTTTAGTTTAGTCCTCCCCATTTTTGTGGCTCTTCAAAATTCTCATCGTCATTTGCCAAGAGCCTGGTCAGTAACTGAGACTCCATGTTGTTAAATATTCACCCAACAGAGGAAAGGTCTCCCCAAATGAGCAACAGTGCTGAAATGGAGATGTCCCTCTCCTTGTTTCACGGCTGCAGGGTCAGTTGCAGCACACAAGCTTCTTGCTGGGCTCTAAATGCCCAGCTAGGAGAGGAGATCACCCTGCAGCGCTCCAGCAACTGTTTGCACACAAACTGTCAGCTGCCCCATAAACTCTTATATAAAACAAGGCAAGTGGTGAGAACGGTCCTCCAGGGAGATGCTTGGAACAATACAATCCTCCTTCTAATCATCTCAGGGCAGAGAGGAAGCAGGGATTATTAAATGGCTTTTTATAGATCTTGAGAACAAGCCAGATTCCCCAGGCTCAGCTGTTTCAGCTAAAGGCTTTAAATCAGCCTGTGCAAAGTGAGGCCAGGCAGCCGAGCTCTGTTTATTCCAGGCAGAGAGGCTGCCTGCTCTGTGTCCCTCTGCTGCTGCTCTTTGCCATGTAGGAACAGTCATGGGCAACAGCCAAAGTCTGTCACTGCCATTTTGGGCAGGCAGCCAGCAGTCCCAGCCTGAGATCCATGGCTTGTTTCATCTGCATGTGGCAGAGCGGTGCACAGGTAACCACGTTGCTGGTGCCCAGAGGTGCTGCATGGTCACCTGTGCTGGTTCTGTGGGTTCTTGGTCCCTTTCTCCTTGCTTGTTGCAGCAGACCTGCAGAAGAAGGGCCTCAAGTGCTGAGTTACAATGCTCTGCTGGTGGCCCGGGCAGATGTCACATTCCTCTGCTGCCTCTTGTTTGCATGTGCCACCCGTCTGCTCCATCATTCAAGGGTGCCACCCAGAAACCCTGCGCTGTGTACAGCCTCATCACCACCATCCCTCTCCTCAGGGAAAACAGACCAAGTCCTTTCAGAGCCTGGGAGTGCTGCCATCGTTCGGGACCTCCCAAGGCAAGCACAGTATGCATTCTCTGGCCAAGCAGGAGCCTCTTGCTGCCTCCCACAATTTTATTGTGAAACATCATTGCAGAGGTTGTCACAGCTGGTCACTTCCCCAAGTCCCCAACTGCTGGAGTCACAGGAACACTTTAGAGTCTCAGCTTTCTGTTTGTCTAGAGGAAATTATAGACCTTGTGGCTACAAATCTGAAAACATGATCAAAAGTAGTCTAGGGAGCTCCAGATCAAACACAATGCTGGAATTGAAGCCCCACTCCTGCCTGCACCTCAGATTATCGCTGCGAGATAGAGCAGGAAACAAGATGCAAAGAAGCAGCCTGCAACCACCACAGTTGAAA